AAATGGAGGAAAGGGCCAGGGGCTGAGGAACCCAGCAGCCTTCAGAAGCTAGAGAAGGCCAGGAAACAATTCTCTCCTCCAGCCTCCAGAAAGACCCAGATTTTAGCCCAGCAAGACCCATGTTAGGCTTCTGACCTGCAGAACTGCAAGAGAATAAATGTGTGTTGATCTAACCAACTAAATTTGGGGTAAAATTTGTTTCAGCACCACAAGAAAACTAATACAGCTGACAGGATGGGAATAAGGGGTCTACAGCATCTTTAGGAAGACACGGACATCACACTCAGACAGCCTCTGACAGTGTCTGGTGAGGCTGCCTGCAGGACTGCAAGGGTGTGGCCTCGATGGGACCCACAATTCTCTATAATTCTGAATGGAAGCCAAGGAAGATGCCGGAAGCCATCAGAGCTAGCAGAATGTCTAGATACCAGTGTGGCCAGTGAGGGGCAGAGTGACCACTTAGGAGGTAACGGATATAAACTGAGCAAGGCCTCCACATGGGCACCAACAAGCTCTCTGGGTTTCATTTTTATTTTATTTCATTGTTTCATTCTGTGAACCACAAGCTATTCTTGGTAATGTTTATGTCTTCCTAGAACCCTTTTGTGCTTATGATAACTAAAAGGAATATTGCCTCACTTGCATGCATTCCTTTTTTCTGCCTCTTCCCTAAACTGTTATCCCTCCACACTGCGACAGGTATATCTACAGCATATCCAATAACTCACGTCTTTTACTCACAGTAAAAAGTAATGCTGGGAAATGAGAAGACTCGTGCTCAGCCAGTTCTTTTATATAAATTATATGCATTTTTATATAACCTCCTACTTGAGCAGGCACTTTACGACAATCTGAAATTTTTTTTATTTAACAAATTAGGATCTCTTTTAGTATCTAGAAGACAAATTTTCACACTATTTGTTAATATGGACTTTGCCAGCTAAATCTAAGATGTAACATTTTAGAGATTTAAATGTCCTTTCTGTGTTATTTGCTAACTTTCAATCCTTATCAAATGGATATTTTATTGTGTGATCCATTCTTTTCCATAAATTGACCAAATGTCCTAAAAGGCAGTGCTTGTAAGGAGCTTGTTAAAAGTCAGCCTAAAGAAATTGTTAAGTATAAATCTTAGGACCAATATATCCAGGCCGAGTTTCTTGTTTTGTTCAGGAATATTTAATTCTGCATATCTCAGCATAAATAGTTCCTTTAAAAAAAAAAAGTTTTGAACATTGAGAAATGTATGCAGTTACTAAAAGTAATGTTTACAAATAGTTCACAGTGATTTCAGAAAAGGCCAATGATGTTAAATGGGGGAAAAAAAACAGGATATAAAACTGAACAGAATGGGAGCTCTCAAACTTTATAAAATACAGTGATGGGGGAAAGACTAGAAAGAATCAACACTAGTGCAATTCAGAGCAATTTTGTTCTGCTTCTTGATGCTTTCCTGTACCTTCCACATTTTACATAATAAGCACACATTGCCCTTTTTCTTTTTTATATTTTTATATTAATACATGCTCATTGCAGCAATGCATTTTCTTTTATAATCAGGGAAAAAAAGTAAGAGCTAAAAATGAAAAGGTCAGTTTGGGTCCTCTCTCAAGGAATTCACTAGCTTAAAAAAATGGTGTAGCTGAAAATATCAACAGCCTCAAGAGAAGCTGAGATGGATTCACGGTTGGGTCAAGGAATGGAAAGGGAATTACTGTTTACAGAACACCCACCTCAGGCCTTATGCAGACGATTTACACACGTCTCATCTCATTTAATCCTCACAATCCCATGAGGCAAATCCTATGATTATTCCCTTCGAACAGATCTGGAAACAGCAGCTCAGAGCAGGGCTCCAGGGTCACACGGCGAGTGAAGACAAGACGGGAACTGAAACTCTTTAGGCTCCACCAAGCTCTTATCGTTGCATGGCACTGCCTCTCAGACCAAAACAGCTACAGCACCACTCTACTGAGAGGTCACTGTGGCCTTGTCCAGTCAATGTTGGAGATCGAGCCCCCATCTGCCTTTGCTCTCCATCCCTGACCACTCCCCTACTAAAACTCTTTTTCTTTCCTACTCAACCTGTATCGACAACCCATGTCCTGCTGCAATGAATGTCCAGGCCCAGCAGTGAGAGATAAGCCATTCATCAAGCAGGGATCAAGCCCGGTGATGGAAAAGCACCCCACAGAGTACAGCCAAGAAAGGACATCCAGAGAGCTGAGTACCTGCAGCAGAGCCCCAGGCAAGGGAAAAGGAGGCTGATGAGCACTGCTCTGCCCCTCCCAGAGGCCTTCCAGGGCTGGCTCCTCCCATCCCTTGTAGGCATCCAAGGGCTATGCAAGGTCACAGGATAACAATGGATTTCAGTCCACCAGACTCATAAAATGAAAGTAAATGCCAGCTTTCACCAGCACAAACTCTCTGGGCAGTAGGCAGCCCAGCAACAATACCTGGCCAGTGTCTCTCTCCTTCGACAACTATCAACCACCAGAATCTAACTCCCTACTTCCAGACATGCAGAAACACTCACTCTCACACCCCACAGAGACCGTGTCAGCCTGCCATCCTTGGAGCCTGAGACATTTTTCCAGTTATACAAACAGAGAAACCAAGACCCAGAAAAGGCCCCTGGGTGGAACATTTGTCCCCAGGACAAAGTTGCTTTGAGGAGCTTACAGGTTGAATCACCCATAGCTATGTTTTGTGTGGCTTGTGCTGTGTTGTTTACATTGCTTTATTAGTTGATGACAGCTTTAAATCAAATTTTACATTAAGGTCCAGATTTGGGGTTCCTCTTAAAAAAATAAATCAGCATGTCTACAACAGTAGGATTTTCACTCCCAAAGGCAAAATCTGTTAAAGTTGTGTGACAGCTTCTCCTTTTAATGGAGATGACCTCTTCAGGCCCTATACTCCAGGTACCACAGGAACCAGCTGCCCGGTTCATCCTTGTATGTTACCTGCATGAGGTGGCAACCTTGTGCAAGAGCACCATGTTTAGTCCCTGGGGAACTGCTGATGGGAGTGAACGGGCATCATTCAGGGGCAAAATGAATGAGCTTGGATACTCAACACTGCAGAGGGGAGTCAACAGAGGTGTGTCACCAGACATGGAACACAGGCAGGGTCTCCACTACACTGGGAGCTCCTGGGTCCAGGAAATATGTGCTTCCAAACTGTGGCTTCGGCTCCCAAGCACAAAGAATGAATGTCGACAGAGATGGGGTGTGTGGAGCCAGTGTCAAGGGAACAGGAGGCAATGTGAAAGTTGTAGCTTGTCACCCCAGGTCCCCACCCCAGTTAGGGTTCCTTCCACTAAGAAGGCCCTGCCCTCCTCTGGCTGGAGCCCACCCCAAGAACCTGCAAGGAGCTGTGGTAAGGGCACACTGAAAAGAAGTCCAGAACAGGGGGCGTCTGGAGACAGAGACTGCTGGTGGGGCACCAGACACCAAAGAAGGGCAGGAATTCCTCTTCCCTGTACCTCAACAGACATCTGACAATGGACATCTGTCACAGCTGGAAGCAGCAGCTCCCATAATAAGCAGTGTTAGCCTCACCCCCCGCCCAAAGAAAACACTTGGGACTCCCGGTTTGTAAAACCACCTCAAGAAATCCTTGGACCTTCAGTCCCCAGAACTAGTCCCCGGTCCCTGCCCCCAGAGCTGGCCCCTTTCCTTCCTCTGCTGCACCCAAGAATAGGAGACCCCCAGAATTCCTCCTTCCAGCACAACAACCTCCCCAACACCAGCTCTGACACCCCAGAACCAGACCAGAGCCATCATCGAGGTATCCTGTCCTTGCAGGCACCAGGGAGACTAGCAGCCCATGTGTACCATAGCAGCAAGAGGACTCTGGGCTCAAGGGGCTTGAGGAGAAAGCACCGGCCCGGAGCTCTTAGCCAGCCCACCTCCCACTACACCCACTGCCCTCTCTACACTGCCCTACCAGTTCCTCCAGCAAGGAATCCTTGCATCCTGCACCACTAACTGTGCCCTTCTATCCTCAGCACTGAGGGGCACTGGCCTCAGAGTCCCCATGGTTGTGGGGAGCAAGGCAGAGGGAAGGAGAACGGACTTAAGCTGGGTAAGTGTCAGAGGTGGAGCCTTAGGCCTTAACCAAGAAGCTGGAGGCTTGGAGAAGGAACCAGGGTTCCGGAGCTGAAAGTCAGGTTGAAGGGGAGGGACTAGGAGAGAGGAGGGAAAGCAGAGGGAGTTGCTGTCACGAACGCCCTCGCCGCGCACCTGTGGCGCCTGCCGCGGAGCCCGACCGCAGGCAATGGCCGTGGAAAAGGGCGGCCCCGGCGCAGGCTAGGATTTCCCCGCAGCCGGACTAGCCCAGCTCCGCTCCTTTCCTGGGCGAACAGCGCCCACCTCCGGCCCAGGCGGTGGCGCCTCCGCCCGCGGCGCGGACAGCGATAGAGAAACCCGTTCCTCCAAACCTGGTGGGGGAGCGCGGCAGAGAAGCGCCGGGCTGAGGCTCTGGGGGCAGTGGGGCGCGAAACACCGCACCCTACCAGGGCGCCTACCCGGGAGAAGGAGACAGGGCGGGCTCCAGGCGCTGGGCGCTCCTCACCTCGAAGCAAGGAAGACACCGGCCCACCGAGATCGGGGGGTGCGCCCGACACAGGTACCCGGCACGCAGACACGCCCACCCCCAAACACCCAGAAACAAAGACCGCCCCAAGCCACGCACGCCTGCGCAGCCAGCGCTGGGCGCACACCCGCGCCCACACAGCCCGAAAGGCGGCGCGCAACCCGCAGGAAGCCCAGCTCCCCGCGCTCGCAGGCTCTCATTGCCAGCCGGCAGCGCAGAGCAGTCCTGGCGCCGCTGCCTAGGTGGGCCAGGGAAGGCGCGCCACCGCGTGTAGCACCGCGGCTGCCCAGGAGCAGAGGGGGATCCGCGCGGCCCAGCTCGTCCCCAACCCCGCCAGTGCCCACTGCTGCGACGCCTCACAGACCGTGTCCCAGTGGGCCCTGGGCACAGCGGTCACTCACCTTCCTGCACAGCCTGGAACGGGTTGTTGGCCTCGATGACCTTGATGGAGTAGGTGATCTTCTCGCTCTGCAGGATGTCATCGTTGAGGCTCAGGTCGGATACCGCCAACTGGAACACCCTGTCGTCCTTGGCTGCGTTCTCCTCGAAGATGGCACCTGAAGGAGAGGAGGGATCAAGACCGGACCTAGACAAGAACCCTCTCCCCGCTTCCCTTAGCCCGAGGGTCAAGGCACTCGCAGACCGATGATTGCCAGGTGGTGGGAAGTCTGAGCTGGGATTTCAGCTTGGCAGGGTAGAATAAGGCTCTCCCATCTCCACCCGCACAGGAATATGCTCCCCTCCCCCCAGCAGCCCTCAGCGCACACGTGCACACAGTTGACATGAGTTACACATGCACATCTCACATGCTGCCACCAGGTCACACACGTGTCTCACAACCAAGGCACCACATGTCCTAGCCATACCCCACAAAAGGGACTAAGCCAAGCTAGGGTGGCCCCAGGCAGTGCCCAAATGCCTTCCATAAATCCCATCCCAGGAGCCAGGAAGTTCCCTGGGAGGGTGGTGTCCCCCACCCAAACCCCAGGACAGAATGATGACTCCTTTCTGCCATGCACGTCCCCTGCTGAGTGGAGCTGAGCGAAGCAGGCCTACAGTTGGCTTTCCTGCGCAGAGGGGTCTTCCTTAGGCAGGGGCCTCTGGTGGCCTGCAGCTTGGACGGCTGTGACGCTGCCCGGCCTGGCGCCCTGAGCTCAGCCTCCTACTCTCCATCCTTCCCCACTTCCATTTCCTGTATGTCTGTCGAGGGGAGTGGGGGAAGGGGACTGTGTCCTAGGCGCCTAGGATCTAGCGGGGCTGGGGGTCCCAGAAGGACCTGTTCTTGAAGGGTTTTCTAGAACCGCGGACAGCTCCTCCAGGGCGCCCTCCGGCTGGCGCTTTGTGCACCTATCACAGCTTCCGCGGACCCTGCGCTTCCAGCCGAGATGCGTCCCACCAGCCGGAGCCTAGTCCCGCAACCTGGGCAGCTCTGGAGTCAGCCACCCACACCCCGCCTCACCAAGCCCCGAGGGTCCCTGAGGTCCCGGAGCTGGCCCAGTGATCCCTCAAGCTGGGGGCTGGGTAGAAGGAGGGAGGCCCCGATTCCTCACTACACCCGGAGCCGGAGCCGCAATGCTGACCGCGAGACCCGCACCCCTCCAGGGCGGGAAGCAGGTTTGGTCACGGGCCCCTGCAGAATCGTAGTTCTCTGAGCTCAGGCCTAGTACTCACCACCCCACTCCACGCCCCGGCCCCGCCTGTCCCGTCCTCCTCGCCTTCAACACCTCCCAACCCCCAGTTTCCCTGTGATCGCTGGTCTTTCCCAACTTCCGGAAAGACGACTGCGGAGGGACTCCCAAAGCGACCGCTGTCAGCCCCCCAACTCGGCCCAACTTCCCGAGATTCTTCCCGTGTTGCTCCCAACTCCCACCCACTCCCCCTCGGCGCGCCCACTCCCCCTCGGCGTGCCCCCTCCTCCTCTGTTCTCTCATCTTCTCTCCCGGTTCTCTCTCTCTATCCATCTCTTCCCGCTCAGCATCCCCCTACCCCGCGCTGCCCACGCTTCTTCCCTCGGCTCCCAGCACCCAGACTGTCTGGGCCCCCAAGACTTGGACCACGCAAAACTCTGGGACTGTCCAGGATGGGGCTGCAGTCGCCACAACCAGATACACACGCACCCACACATACACCGAGGGCTACACAGACACACCGGAGAAGCAGGCAGACACTGTGTCCACTCTAACAGGCTGACAGACAGTCGTGCACGCACCAACACACGCTCAGATGGCCCCACACACCCCAACGCCCTCTCACAGTAACACCGACACCGTGCCAGGCGCACACAGCGACACACGCTGACAACACGCACCCACACACATTCACACACGGTTCCGGTCCGGTCTCTTTGATCTTGCCCTGCCAACTTGACTAGCCCCCCGCCGTGCCTTCCCCTGCCCCCAGCTGCTCTGAGCTGCGCGGAAAGGACCTCCCGACCCGCCGACGGCCCCTCTAAGGGCGCGGGTCTCCACGCGCGTCCATCCCGGTGTTCTCCGAAGCCTCGGCCCTAAGTGTCGGCAGAGGCCGCGGGGCCCCGCGCGGAGATCGGAGCCCCGGGGAGCGGCTAGCAGCCAGCGGGAGCGCGGCGCGGCCCGTGCACAGCTCCTCCGCCGGGCGGCGCGGCGCGGCCCTTCGGGGGAGCACCGCCCGCCGAGCCCCTCGGCCCGGGGAACCGCCAAGTTTGGACGCCGCGCACCCCCTTCCCCGTTGGGGCCCCCGCCCAGCCTCGGCCCGGCAGCCAGCCACGCTCACCGATGTGGATGATGGAGTCGGCCCGCACCGACACGCACTGGCATATCCAGGGGAGAAGCCACAGCGTCAGCGCTTCCATGTCCCCCGGGCGCGCGGCTCATCCGCCTGGGCCCGGGGCGAGGCCGAGGGCAGCGCGAAGCGGGGAGGCGCTGGTCCCGGTGCAGTCCCGGGCCGCTCCCCGGGAGAGCCGAGCCCGCCCGTGCGTCTTCCCCCGCGCGCCCGCCCCTGCGCCCTGCGCCCGCCCCAGCCCAGCCCAGCCCAGCCCAGCGCGGTCGGGCTCCCGCTCCGGCTCCGGTGGCGGCTGCGGCGGCGCTGGCAGCTTGAGCCCAGGCCGGCGCGGCGGGGGCGGCCCGCGGCGGTGGCAGCGGCGCTTCCCGCGGCTAGAGCGGCTTCGGGGGAGGCTGAGGCGGTGGCGGCGGCGGCCGGGCTGGCGTGGCGGCTCTGGGCTGGCTGTGTGTCTGAGCCCCGGCTAGGAGCGAACTGCGGAGGACGCCCCCTCCCCTCCCCCTCCCCCTGGGCTCCGCTCCCCCTCCCCTCCCTGCCCGCCTCCCTCCCCTCCGCCCTTCTCTCTACCACGTGACTGCGGAGCCTCAGCCTTGCCGCGCGGCGCTCGCCCGCTCGCGGCTCGGAGGGGGCACCGGGTGCTCCACGCTCCCGGCCCGGGGGACGCTCGGAGACCGGCACGGCGGCGGGGACCGGCCTGGGCTGCGGCGCGCGGAGCCGTGGCTGTCCGGGCCTCCTTCTCCGGTTCACCAGGGGCGGGAGAACGGAGGAGGGCCGGCCGCTAACTGCCCTCGAGGGGCTCCCGAAGCGCCCTGGCGATCTCAGCAGCCGCGGGTCTCGGGTCATGTCCTCGGCCGAAACAGACCGTTCCTCGTGGAGTGGGACCTGGGGAGCAAGAAGAGAGACCGGGGCGGGGCGCCGGGCCAGGCCCCGGGACACCTGGGGAGCCAAAGGGGGCCGGCCGCCGCGAGCATCTCGGAGCAGAGCCCGGGCCGCGGGCTTGAACCCTGGCTGGCCGCGCGGACCTCGGCGGGCGCCCATCCCCCGCCCCGCCTGCAGCGCACTCAGCCGGGAGTCGGCAGGAGGCTCGGACTCTGAAGCCCAATTCATGGCCGGAAACCGGCGCAGCCGTGACCGCGGCGCCTGGACGTGAGGAGCCTTCCAAGCGGCCGGCGGGCTCAGACTCCGACCCTGCACGGAGCTTTCTTGCGCGAGCCCGGGCGAAGAGCCCGCTCCTCGCGGCCATAGCGGAACGGGGCTCCCTCCGCCTCCGGTGCCTGCCTCGGGCCGGCCACCACCAAAGCGTTAAGCTGTTGTGGGCTCCTGCCTGAAAGGGACTGGGCTCCATGTGGCACCCCCAAGATTACGAGGAGACAGCTGAGTTTCCTGGAGTCTGGGACCTGGCAGAGCCTCGTTCGGAAGCTGCTCCTCCGGCAAGCCTGGGAACGTCCCCAGGACTCCCGCCGCGCACCAGGTGGTGCTCGAGCTCGAGGGAGGCGCAGAGGCTCCCACCACAGCCCTTGCCCAGAGCTCCCAGAGCGGTGGGCGAGGCAGACACCTAACCAGGTCATCTTTTAAATGTTGGGGGGGACTATGAATGAGCTGTGTATGCTCAGATGCCTGGGCTCTGACCCAGCCTGGGAAGAAGAGTAGGGATGGCTTCCTGGAGGAGGTGACAATTGTAAAGACTGAGTGGAGGTACCCAAGGAGAAAATAAGGCTTCCAGGCATTGAACGGTGGTGAGCCAAGGCAACAAGAAAGAAGTATGTGTGTCTGTATGTCTGTCTTGTCTCCCATGTGGCCACCCAAAGAGTAATCATTGGTAGATTTCACTTTGGAAAGAAAGATTGGAGAGGATGAGCTGTGCTGAGGGGGCCAGTGGAGGCCCATAGTCCTGTGAGGGAACCCTGAGGGGGCCAGCTCAGCTGGGCAGGGACAGCATGGTGGAGCAGAGAAGCTGGATTGCAGAAGTATCAAGGAATCCCATGGGCCAGCAAGGTGGCTTCCAAGTTAAGGGGGCCAGGGAGCAAGAAGAGAGGAGTGGTCATACTTGCCCATGGGAGTGGCTGAGTGTGCTCCTACACACACACACACACACTTCTTCCAAAAACCTGTCTTAGGGTCCTTGAGTAGTGAAACCTGACCCACGCTGCATCTCAAAACCCTCTATGCCTCTAATTCTCATTCCTGCAAAATTCTACCATTCACTGGCTGAAATGTTGTAAGGAGAAGAGAAATAAATGATGAGTTTTATTATACATCAGTTTGTTTCCTACGGGGACTGTCTCCACTTTGAAAGGATGGTGGGTGTGGTCTTGACCTGAAGTCCCTGTGGGTCAGGGACACTCCCAGGGCCTCCTGTTGTTGGGGGTTCTCCAGTGTGTTAGTACAGTGGGCATGTGATATACCCAGTTAGAAGTTTTTCTTTGATGTATGTTTTGCTAGGTGTAGGTAGCATGATTTCAGTGGAACAAGTATTAAGACCTCCTTCCAAGTATTAAGAAGACAACCCACCAACACATAGTTTTGGAGTGATTTCCATCAAGTTCCAGTTTGGATGATGAGGTGGGTGATGAAGTTCCTGTGGCTTGGCATCTGAGGATCATGACTCAAGGTGGATCTCATCTGAAGCTGTTGACCTGGGGCAACCTCACCTACTGTCCCGGGTGCCTCCTTCCCCTCCAGCTTCCGGGGCGTGTGGTAGTCTGCCATCCCCATATGCTCATTCCCAGATGCTCACCCTGGGACAGTCCACTCAGCCAAGCCAGTTTTCCTATTCAGGCTACAATCCCCTGAACACCCTTTGTGTGGTGACTGTAGGCACTCTGCTCAGCTCCTGTTCCTCACAGAGCTGGGAGGCAGGCTCAGAGACCACTGGGGACCTGTACAGACTCACCTTGAGGCAAAATGTGTTTAATCCTCTGCCACCTAAAGCTGGAGTTGCCAGGATCCAGGGGCATTGACTGTTATTGGTGGTTTGCTCAGACTCATAAAAGCCCTTAACAATTTATTGCTCCTGGCCCAGCTATCCCTGGCCCAACACCCTTATCCCTGATAGCCTCTGGGGCTGCAAATGCTGCCTCTCCAAAACCAGGGAAAGCAGCTCTACCCAATGAACAAGTTCACCCCTACTGCAATAATCTAGCTGGAGAAGATAGATTAGCAATCTCTGGGTCATATGACACACACCCACTTCAGAGACAGAAAAACTGAGGCCCAGAGAAAGGCATCAGGTGAGTTGCTGGCAGGCCCAAGGCTCAGTCCTCTTGGTTTGCTCCTCACTACACAAAGGTGTATTCAAAGAAATTAAAACTGAGTCAGTAAATCTTTCTTTTACACAAGCTCAGCCAGCACAGGTGACTGCTTTTTCTAAAGAGTTCTTCAGTTTTACTGATTCTAATTACTTTTCTTTAGCACTTACCACATGCAGGCACTGTGCTCACCGCCTGACATCTTACTGAGGAGATGGTCATCCCATTTTACACACAAGGAAATGGAAGGAGGGTGCAAAAAGATAAACTGGGCTCATCAGGAATCTCAACTGAAACAACACTGGAAGCTAGTAGTTGGCCACAGAAGCTGTAGGTGAAATGTCAAGGCAGAGAGAGGCCTCAGTGGTCTACTTGGAAGCCACAATCATTGTGACTTAAAGCTTTGTCATTCCAGAAATGCAGACCTTTCCTTTCTCCATTGCCTTCTTTCTCACCCCAGCCAAGAGCTGGACTAAGGAAAGGCCAGCTGGAGTCCTGGCCCTCCAAGTGACCTGCCTCCCAAGCACAATCCTGAGGAGCTGCCTGCCTGATGCGGAACCATCAGTGCCCAACCCCTGCAGAAGTGCACCTCCTGAATCATGTGTCTCCAGGGAGGGCCCCAAAACTCTATCTTCCTCATTCCCTCCTCAGCACAGAGCCCACCAGTGATATGGAAGACGATTCAGCCCAGGCCCTGCTGGCAAAGAAAGGTCAAGTCCAAGCCTGGGGAATTCTCTGCAGGCTTTGGCATGGAACCCAGCTGTCCGTTGTACACAGGGTAGAGGCCAACCCAGGTCTTGAGGTCAAGCCCCCAGGAAAGAGTCTGTAGGCATCTGGGAAGGAGTCTTGCTGCCAGCCTCATCTGTCATTACAGGCTCCAGGGAACCCACTTTCTGCCAAGATCTAAGCTCAGAAAATCTCACTGCTGCCTTCCTCTCTTAACCCACTGGGTTTTTCCTTTTTTTAATTTTTTCTTGAAGACAGGGTCTTGGTCTGTCACCCAAGCCAGGGGACATTGATGTGATCATGTCTCACTGTAGCCTACACCTCCTGGGCTCAAGCAATCCTCCCACCTCAGCCTCCTGAGTAGCTGAGACCACAGGCACATGTTACCAGGCCCAGCTAATGTTTTTCATTTCTTGTAGAGATGGGGTTTCACCATGTTTCCCAGGCTGTCTTGAACTCCTGGACTCAAGCAATCCTCCTGCCTTAGCCTCCCAAAGTGCCACCATGTCAGCTTTGTTTTTTTGTTTGTTTGTTTGGTTTTTTTTTTGAGATGGAGTCTCATTCTGTCACCCAGGCTGGAGTGCAGTGGCACGGTCTCAGCTCACTGCTAGTTCCGCCTCCCGGGTTCACACCTCAGCCTCCCGAGTAGCTGAGACTACAGGCGCCCACCACCACACCTGGCTAATTTTTTGTATTTTTTTTAGTAGAGACGGGGTTTCACCGTGTTAGCCAGGGAAGTCTCGATCTCCTGACTTCGTGATCCGCCCGCCTCGGCCTCCCAAAGTGCTGGGATTACAGGCGTGAGCCACCGCGCCCGGCCTGTTTTTTTTTTTTTAAACACCCTTGTTTATTGCTTTTTTCATCTGTTCTCCCAGCACTGCTTTGGCTCTTCAGTTGAATGTGAATTGTCTGTCTCTACTTTGTCTTCCTTACTACCCTTTCTTGCCAACCTCTTTCATCTTATTTTTAATGTTTCTCAGCTTGTATTTATTTTATTTGATCTTCTTTTATATTACTGTATTTTTTTAGTTTACTTTTACTCTTGGTAGCCTCATGGGTTTTTACTTTAAATTTCCCAGGCCAGCAATCTTTTGCATTGCTCATTCTATTAATTTGAGACTTCTATTGATTCATTCCTTGGTTTTCCCGAGGTTAGGTAGAGGGAGAATTCCAGAACCAGCTTGCCTCAGCCACCAGGGCAAGACCCACTGTTATGCCCCTTTGCACCCTTCCCATGGCACGGTGCAGACACCCATGGCGGGAAGCCCAGGTGAGGGAGAGCTTCTGCGGGCCAGAGCCGTGCCCCATGGGCCAATGAGGAGAAAGCAAATCACACACTGTGTGTCTGCCCTAGATAGGAAGGCCTCATCTTTCCAGGGCAAGGACCTCTTTACCCCCATTATACA